AGGCCCCGTTTGGTTCACGGAATGGATTTGAGGGGAAATCAATTCCCATGTCATTTCCCAAGGAATGGGAATGAAAGATTCCTTTCCCACGTTTGGTAATGTTGGGAAAGTAATCGGGAGATTTCACTTTGTTTTCTTTCCCATGTTTGTTTTGAGTAGGAATGGAAAACAAAATTTGTATAATTTTCCAATTATACCCATATTAAATCAAATAAAAAAAGAATGCATTTAATGATACGTTGTAATTATAAATTGTTCATAGGGACAAAATAGTCATGAAAATTGTGCATTGAATGTTGGCACATTTTCCCAAACTTTCCCATGAGGAGGGAAAGCAAAACCCAAGTTAAGAGGGGGGCATCACTTTCCCCCCTACTTTCCCATGTGCCAGGAATCCGTTTCCCATTCCCGGACTTACCAAACATGGGAAAGCAATTGAATTCCCATTCCTATGCCTCCTTTCCCATGAACCAAACGGCAGAGAGAGTTTCACCCATTTGCAGATGACCTAGCTATATAAACATGTATTTGTATATATTTTTCATATTTAATTGTTTAATTAGTGGTCATTATTGGCCCAATACTTCAATTTTTTTAATCTTTTTAAAGAAAAGGAAAGATATTATGCTAATCTATCGTCATCCGATCATATTTTGGGATACAAAAAGTAAAAAAGAGTTAACAAAGTAGGTTAGGATTGGTAATGGATATTTATTATGAGTATCTGTGTGAGTGAGATTAATCAAAGTGGAGAAACTATTGTGACAGGGAATTCCATTAGCATAATCATATTAAATTGAAAGTGGGATGCAAAGTGCTTTTAGGGAAATGCCCAACTCTTTGCATCTATATATATACTTTGTAGTTGAAAGAGGATTTATAGGTGGCAAAGAAGAAAGTGAATCCACTTAAAAAGCACTTTTTTCATGGAAGGGGATATTCTTGTATTACTAAAATCGATAGCCGACCCATCAACCGCCCAAACCAACACGTATTAGGCTTCAATGAAACAAAATCATATGCAGAAAGTGGATGAGTTGGGGTCACGAAATTACCTCTAAACAAGCTCCACCTATCCCCAAGCATTATTGCTTCCACTTTTTCAAATTTTTAACTCAAACGTCCGTTTGTTTTTAGACGAGGATTCAAATTTGAATCACCGATTCTAAAAACTTATGAATGCGAAATAATTCTTGAGTATATAAGAAGGTCGAGTTGAAGTTCACAAATGTCAATACAAGCATGGAAAGAAGTCAGATTGGAGTGGGTGATCATAGAAGAAAATCAAATTCAAGCATAGCATTAGATTGATGGTGGGGATTAGGGCTAATATATATTCTCTTATCCGGATGTCCGCACGTTATTATCGTTCGGATCCTATTGTAAACAGGCAGGAAAACAGAGAGGGATAATACAAAATACACTGCGTCCGCACGATAATAACGTCCGAAAAGAGCCAAATGGTAATGATGGCCGAAAGTGAAAGACTCATCCTAATCAGGTTTTGGGGTCAACGAAATAGATATGTATGTGCTGCAGTTTGCTTAAGTCCATTCACAGCATTATTTGCATAATGAATTTTTGTGGATCGATGGGACTGTTTCCTTCCTTCCTACTGTTGTTAGTAGGGTTTGATAAAGACGGGACGCTCAAAATGAACTTATATATTGATGTTATTCCTTCTCTCACTCTCATCCATTTTGAGGGCTCTTCTCATTTTCCAGCAATTTCCTTCCATTTTGATGCGCCTTATGAATTTATAGAAAATATTAAAATTGATGTATAAAGAAACGAAGTCGTTTTCGGAAAGAGTGAGCGTGTCCCCTACAAAGGTTTCATTACATGAATGAATTGTCTGGATTTGAAATGTTGAGGTTTTGACATTTTTTATGGTGCAGAGCAGACAGATTTGACTGAGTAGTCTATGAAATTATTGGAGGGGTCTTTGTATTATCTTAATCAGATATGTCTCTTTAGGAACTTAGTGCTGTCATTGTGTCTGCAAAGACAAAAATATAGTATTATTTGAAACGTGTGTGAATCTTGTATCAAATGGCTACTGAATTTGGCTGTGTCTTCTGTTGGGAAAATAGTTATGCACCATGGACAGTTGTTCTTATAAAGTGCCATATGGGGTAGGGTTTCTTAATTTTAAAGCAGCAACCATAGATTGAGTAGGCTTCAACAATAGGCCAGCCTCATCAGTGGTATTTCTCCGGGATAGACAGGGAAGTTTGTTCTTTCCTGACAAAACATACCTTTCCCGGCGAATTTTGTCCTTCCTAACAAATTTTCACCTCGATAGACTATTCCCGGCCTATTTGTTCTTCTTTGACAAATTTTCGACGGAATAGACCTTTACCGGTGAAGTTTTTCCCTTATTGGATTGTAGCTT